GTAATCGATGTAGTGTGTGTTCGTTTGTTGATGGCAGACGGTGTTAATTAATCAAGTGCTCTTCTCTGGTTAGAACGAGGAAGTCTGGATCGAGATCTAAATTTCGACTGAAATTGTTCTATAAAAACGTACTAAATTCTCTGAATCACCTTTTTAAAAGCGGCTGTAGGAGAATACTTTTACGATTGGTATGGCATGTTGGAACAGTATTTTCTAACCCATTATTTATTGATTTCCAACGTTTTCTGTTTCCGATGGAAATTTTATTTTTTGACGAATAATTCTAATAAATAGCTGGATGAAGTTGTCAATAAAGTAAACATTTTTCGAAGGGTGGAAAAGAGCTTTTTTTGAGTTTTAAAAAAATATGTAAACTTATTTATACCGAAAATTCCTGGCTTTCATGCACAAACAAGTGGTAAATGAATTTATATATTTTCCCTATATATGCTGCATATTAAGACACTTATAAATACAGATATAAATACGTAACTTGACTAAACTAATTGTTATTTTGTCGCCACAACAATTTTTGAGTGGTTGTGTCACGTTTGAGGAAATAATCCCCACTGCAAATTATGTTCAAACTATTCGAATTGTCAACTGCAATGATTTTGCAGCACGGCCAACTTCATCTGTATAAATACCTAGAGCATATATATCTTCGTCCAAGGAAATTTGTAATTGGTAACTAAGAGATATTGATATGCAATCTGAAAAAATTGGTCAAATTGATTTTGGATAGATTTCCGTCTTCTCAAAAACTAAAAATTTGTAAAATAGAATGTTGTACTTAACATCTTCGACGATGTGACCTTTTAGTGTATTGCACGGTTTTTACTTAAATGCCCTTTAAATTTTATAAAATAACATACTGCTGTACTTGTGGTTTATGAAACCGCTTTGAGTTGTTTTTACCCTAGGTATTTAGATTTTCACAAAAAAGCAAAATTGTATATTTTATGTTAATATGGCATAAGAGAAAAGTTCGAAGTGCTCAAATTCAATCTCCTCGTGGCCTACCAAGGGGACTTCTGCCTAAATAACAGACAGTGTTTTATGAAATTATCTGTATATGTCATAATTTTATATTAATTTTGCTTCGAAGTGTGTTAAAAACTGCCTAGAATCATTATGTGTACTATATAATGATACCATTAACTTCTTGAAAGAGAAAAACAAACAGATTTGGTTAGCTGTTGTATAAAATTGCATATCCATCAGTTCAGTAATGATCATGACGTCATCATCTTTGCAGAACGGATAAATATACAAATTTTAATTAGCGTTTTACCGTTATTACAATTCTTTAGTACAAGCACACTTGACATGTTAACGTAATCAGTTTAGTACTTTGGAAGAGATTATCTATTTAGTAAATTTTCGATAACTACATATAATACGATTTTGAATTGATAAAACAGATACTTGTTTAAGCACCATGATACTAACAATTAACAACACAGTTGAACTCAATATATTTTTATTGGTAGAACCCCGTTACATGTACGTGTTTTGGGACACAGTACTTTTGCCGGGTAGATGAGTTTTTTTTTCTCTTCTCTTTGATGAAGGTACTCTGCTTCGGAACACTACGTGTAGCAATTTTTTACCAATGTAATAAAAATATTAGAATAATACTTTGGTTAACGCTGTAGTAAAACAATGGCGAAACATTTGCTTATATCGTTGCTAATTAAGTAATTACAATATGTAGGAGCTTCAGTTTTTAAAGCAGCACGCTGTATCTAGATATCAGTAATTTGATACCACTAGCGTAGAACCTTTTTCTGCCTGATACATTATTCATAGTTCTATTTAATGTAAACAGTATGGCGTTGAATAACTGAAATTACGAGAGTAAAAAATCTGTATTAGCAACTACTCTACTTCCATTTTGATACTGATCTAAATTTGATGCTAGCTGTTTTCTGTTTGTGATCGATCTCCTCACTTAGTGTAGTCTCAAACGAACTGATAATTGAAACTTTTCGGTTTAAATCCTGGTATATATAAATACAGAATACGTATCATGTACAAATAGTGTCTTCCCACAATGATTTATGGTAATGTGTAGTTTAAGCCATTTAATGTGCCATTTCAATTAATTTCTTCTATTGTGTTGAAAACAATAACTTTTCAATTATGTTTTATAATGTTTGTTTATATGTTTTGTTTGGCAAGTCTACAAACACTACTGAATATTTTTTGCCTTCTCTAATTTCGATCTTTTCGAGTATATAAACTATATGCTAAACAGCGACACAAGAATTGATACATCATTAATAAGTAGAGATACCAGAATGAATGTAGCCGTCTCGTTGCGGAATATGATTTTATTATTGCATAATTTTCAAATAAAAAATATTGTGCTTTGTGTGTTCAGAACCGGAAATATCTGATAATAAGTAATGCATGTATATGCGGAAGAAAATCGCTTCATCAACTACAATCGTTTTAACACGAGTAGCTGATTTAAAACGTTGGTCGTACCTGTACAGGTTGAAATAAATTTCATGCAGTTGTGTGTGACATCCAGGTTAATGCTTTGTTGCCGGTATCGTTATCTGATATTGAATTCTATTTTCATTACCATCGATACTGTAAAAATGTAATTATCAGATGTCACGCGTGATGGTAGATACTGTTTAGAACATCGAATGTGTTTCTCTTTTTTTGCTCTTGACATCGATTTAGTGTTTTTTTGTACCTCGTCTCCATATTCGCTGTGAAAGCAGTGTTTTTGTGATTTCATTAAAAAACATTATCATTATCTGAAGCCATAAATCTGTGAATTTTTGTGTTCTTCTTTATCTTTTCGAGTCTGGTATAATACGGATGTCCTGGTCATAAATTTGTATAAACATGTAAGAGAACAAATCTGACTTGTGAAAAAGTAGTTGATAGTTTTGGGTGCGCTAGATTTGAACAGGTTTTAGTGGAAAAATTGTGTGATTCTTCATTCTATAAATAACTAGAAAGAATTATCCACATTGAACACATAAAGGATAAGTGCTAATTTTTGCGTTGGCGATGAAGAGTTGATGATCTACTTCGAGGAATACATAAAACGAGGTTAAATGACTAAATGATATTTTCGATTATGATAAATAGAAAAAATTAAAGATAGTTGGTGAACACTCCCCCCTGAAAGAAAATTTAATTACACATTAATATTAAAAATAACGTTAACGACGACGATAGCGAACAGTCGTTAATATAGAGAGAACATTAGTTACACGTGTTTGATAAATGTTTTTTTTTTGCTATTCAGGATATTTTCACCAACGTTAAGATGAAAAATTTCATTTACATTGAACAACAGTGTGGAGTTCAAAAAAATAGTAGATAATGATTTGACGTTATAACATCGATGAGTAATGACTGTTTTTGGTCTACAATTTATCATTGCTATTTTTAGTACACTGAAACAAATAAAATTAGTTTAAAGTTGATACATTCTATTTTATAACAAAGTAGTTTATGACTAGCTATCAAACGAATGTAATACTTTTGTTAATTTGCTTGTATCTCGAATAAGTAAGTACTAACCTTTCTTATAACATACTCTTTTCATGAAAATGATATTACAGATAATTTGACGTTAGTCATTTTCCAGGTGCATGTGCATTGCTCCCTCTTAATCCATGCGTTTTGCTATCTTCGCGCCACGAGATTAATAAATGGTTTGTAATATATCAATTTGGCATGGTGTTGATTGTGTTATCAAAAATGTAATTGATTTTTTAATTTTATGTATATTTTTAACGCAAAGATGTATTTATGTCATGTTAAGTATTGCATTAATTTTATTTAAATAGCACATCGTTTTCGACTGTGGATATTACACCATTTTTAATTGATGCGTGTAAAATGTATCAATTAAAAATTTATATAATAAACTTCAGTTGGTGGTGATATTGCATAAAGTTATATTTCATGTTTCTAAAGTATGATCATTAATATCCTGTCAAATCTGGATGTTAGGTTTTCAAGAAGCGATAGATAATTTATAACTGGACTCTTCTCGGGCGACTGTTATATCTTAATGACTATATTTGTTACACGGTGGTGCATATATGCATAATAATAGCTAATTATTTTCTTTCAATCTTTGTGAAAATGGACTATAAATATATGTATGTACCTTAAATTCTCTGTTTTATTTTTTGCTGGGCGGCGTTGTGAGTTTACACTTATAAAAGTACCTTGGGTACCCCTTATTATCATTTATTGAATGATTTAAACTCTTTTCTAAACATAACGTAAAGTTTTATTATGACCATATAAAGTGACTTCTGGTGAAAGGACGATCTTATTTGTTTTTGAGTAAAGTAGGAAGCCGCAACCATTAATTTCTCGTACACTGTTGCATATCACAATTGGAAAATACATGTTGTTATGTCACCGTTACCGCCGGGATGGATTAATCATGTTGTCACGAGGTATTTATACTATTACTCAACCATGTTAAGGTGTCAACTAATAGAATCAAACCAACGACAACGCGGGTGCGTTTAATATTGGTAGTATTGGTATGTTTTCACTTGTTTCAATGTTGTGTTGTTAATTCTATGGTGTTATAATATCAGGTGGCCAATTGCCTTCTCCATGTTTCTTGGCTTCAAAAGGTCAATTTACATCATTTTCTGAAGATATCACTTAAAAGCTAGTTTCAGTACAAAAAAATCTCTGTTAAAAGAAGAAGAAAATAATTATTGTTAAATTTTAAAATGTCTTAATATTTGTTGTGTATTATTTCTAGTTGATTTGATTCTTTTTGCCTGTGAGCCCTTTCAGGTGACGTAAATAAAGATAAAAATAAAAGAAACTGCAAATCTTTTAAAGTGCATCAACAATTTCAAGGATTCATGGACAATTTTCGACGTATAGCAGTCCACAAACTCTAATATTATATTGCAATGAGCGAACCATTATGTATAGCCCTTGTGGAGAAAAAAGACGTTTTTTTCAAGGTAAATTACCTGCAGAGCTCTTACCGAATTTTAAATCCAGGGACGGCTCATAAAATATTCAGTCCTCATCGCATTAGTCACTCCGGAGAACTTCAACTCCGGTCCAGATCGGGCGTTCACTAATCCGACACCTTAACTCCGGTCCGCGGTCATCTTTGCCCCTTGGTCATGGTATTAACAACGGTCCGGCAATATCTACCTGACTCGAATTACGCTTCTTGAGTGCGGAACCCGTTCAGTTCGTTTTGGATTAGGAAGCGAAGCACCTTAAAAATTGAATAATGGTTTATTTAAACAATATTGTGTGCATGGAGTTAACAAAATTTGATATAAATTATAATACTATCGTGATATATTTAAACGAGACACATCGTATACTAGAAATACGGTCTAACTTCTTTACTTATTACACGTCTACTTTCTGGCTTATATAGTTTCATGTTTGTTTCTATTTGTATGAATTTTAAAATTGGAATTTAAAAAGGAACAGCTAAATTTTAGGCAAAGTTTACAATAGGTGCTCTTATCAGTTTGGAGCGGAGTTAAGGCGAGGGATTAGGGCACTCCAGGTACCAGTGAAACGAGATATGACCTTGGATCGGAATTGAAGATCGCCAGTCAACATAGTAATAAAAAATATTTTGATTCATGTTTATGATTGTGTAATTACAATAATAAAAAGCCCAAATATATCTTCACAACAGTATGTTTGAATATTAAAAAAAAGTCACACAAATGTAGAAAAACACTGTACGGGACTATAGTATCAGTCTCAATACATTTTGAATACCCTGGTATTTAATCGGTTCCATAATTTTTGTATTTCTCGCTGTGGAAGATGTTTTCAGAGTACATACATCCAAATAAAATCACTAGTTCAGTTCTATGTCATTATGATAGTGATCCAAATAGCTACCGACGTTCCGATACTGCATTTTTCGGATTATCGTATTTAATTAGATTAATCTACCAGATATGTCTGTCATTGTTTTTGTGATATCTTAACTCAACAAGTTTGTTAGCCAATTTTGTTTGCTTATTTTTTAGGAGCACTGTATTACTTTTTTAACGTATGGCGATTGTTTCAATTTTGCGTTTACTCCGTCAATAGATAGTCAGTTAGATTTTATTATCTCGGGAAACCCAGTTAATTAACTTTGAATAATAATAAGTAATTAGATCAATTCATTAGTGATAAATTCTTATGTTGATGGGTTGGTTTGGGTTTTAGAATTTAAATACTGTGGGTATGTCATCAAAATATTATTGTGTAGTCGGCAATGATATTTCACGCATGTAAAGTGCGTTGCCTATGGTTGAATCTAAACAAGTTACACTGTATTCCTGTCATGTTTATAGATTGTAAAAATCATTAGTTTACGAGCCATGAAATTTATAGAGATTTTTGCAGTACTGCGAAATGCTATAATTTTTATAAGTATTCGACTTATTATCTCATTAGACAGCATTTCGTGATTCATACATTGACGTTTGACCAAATTTCACGATTTTAAAACTGTCATATCGTGGAAATGTCAGTATTATCGTTGAAGGTAAAGTTCCCATACCCCTAGCAAAATTCTCCGCTTTAATTGGAGCATAACCCGAGCGTTGATTGACAAACCATATGTTGAAAACATCTCCAAACAAAAAAATTAAAACAAAAAATTCCAACAAGTGCTCTAATTTGATTATTTGCGTTATAGTTAGCAAGTGTTACGTAAAAATTTACAAGCGAAGAAAAATGGAACTGTTCTTACCTCACACACAACCCACAACTGGGTTAATTCACTCCCAATGCAAGAACAAAGATTAGCATAAAATTTTTTCACCCGCCAACCAACCAACATTCACAATGTTGCCATTTTAACGCGTACTCCACGCGAAATAGTACCTTTCGTTTCTTGAATGCGCGCATCTTTACGATCGGGTACCACTGGTGCCCGACCTCTCCTTAAGTTGATACTTTATGGTAACGTAAGTTTCCATCTCATCTGAAGCTAACAAGATTTTCCGTTGCAGGAACTCGGCTCACAGCCCCTCCCAACCATCACCAGTGACGATGTCGACACCCAGTCGATGCCCCGGCCCCGCTCGGGAACGTGGGGATCCAAATCGGACAGCAAGCAGAAGAGCAAAGACGTCGCCAAGCCCAAGTCGAAAGAGGGTAAGAGCAAGCAGCCCAAGGAACCCAAGGGCGAGGGAAAGAAGGAGAAGAAGAAGGACAAACATTCGGGAAGTCGGAGCGGATCTGCGTCCAGGTCCAACTCCGCGGAGAGGCGGAAGTCGGGAGAGGATGTGCAGAGCCCCAAGAAGGCGGGGATGTTGGATGCTTTCAGAACTCGGTCGAACTCGGACGCTAGTAAGAAGAAGGGAAGCGCGTTTATGGCGTCAATGAAGAGCGCGATGTTGGTGAGTGCGAAATGATGTTTAGTGTAACCGTTGAACTATAATTTGGCTTCAAATAGGATATCTTATTTCATTTCCGGTTCAAGTCTCTTACGAAAAATTCAAATAGACTAATAACACGAAGAATAAATTGGTGGCAGAATATAAACAATCACACAATTAGTAATAATTTTCAGCTTTCTCAAATATTTCAAATTTTTGTGAGTATGTATATTTTTTTCGTTCATTGATCAAGCTGTTTCAATATTATACTAAATGTCAGTGAATATTTTACCTCTTGAATTAATCCTGTTAAGCTGACAATTTAGATCACACTGGAATACGCTTTTAATTTTTCAATAAATAATAATCGAACAACCGTTACACAACCGCCTCACGACGTCATTCTGACGTGACTGTATCACGTCAGGGTCATATAAGGTAACCTAAATAAAACAATATAAAAGTAAGTAATCCCGGTTCAACGTAACCTTTCGTAATTTGTAGTTAAATTGGTAGTTCAATGAGAACGAAATTCTAAAAAATATGCAATATCACGAATGAAGTTGCAAATTAAAGCTACCATACAAATGTAGAAACACAACATATTTTTATGTAAAAAAATATATATATATAAATTAATAAGCCAGATATCTCCTTTTCTTCGCTTTCAGTAATTTAACTGTAATCCACAAAATTTTCAAATGCAGCAAATTCTTCTCCCTCAACTTTAACCTTTAATCAACTTAATTACTATAAATAATAATATTTAAGAGTGTTTACTTACTTTAATAGAGTCTGACGACATTCTTGTACATGCCGGATGACTTATATCCGGTTTGACAGGTAGAATTCACCCGTTGTGTTCCTAAAATTGAAAATAATTTTGATTATAAATCTTGCATCTGAATTTAATTTCCTCATAATTAAAAATTACGCCGAAAATTATTAATATTTACAAAAAAAAACCCATCAGGTTTAGGCAATAAATCTGATTTATTAGTCGTTTATACCGATATAAATGACTAATAAGTGACAAAACTGATGATGTAGACAGATGTTAAAATATGAGTCACTAAGCGCGCGTTGCTCGATATCTCATTAATTATTCGAAATAGAAAAAAAAATCAGAGATCAAAGTTGTACAGTTGTTTGAGGACTATACCCTAAAATTATTTCGCTATACAGAGTGTTAATGTTTTTAAGACACACAACTTTTTTTTTATGAAACACCCTATATATTTTTACAGATTTTGATTGACTTACCCTTTAGGTTTTATAACGACGGTTTACGTTTGCAATTCCGATGCGACGTTGCCACGTTATTCCAGTTTTCTTTGAAATTTTTTGGCAATAAAAGGGTTCACAAAAAATAGCAATAGGTTATTTTTAAAGTCTGTACTGCAATATTTTGTGGAAAGATAAATAAAGATACGCGCTTTGTTGTGGCATTAACTAAATCAAATTTTAATTTACAAAAAATATAAAAAAAAATCAAAAACTACAATTTTCAAATATCCTTATTTCGGTTTCTTCAAATGGAACACTGTATTTGATTGCTCTATATTATCAATTTTTGTCCTCATTCTTCTAATTGGTCAATGTGTCTCTTAAAAAGTAAAAAATCGAAGTAACTTCACCTTTAAATATAGAAACTACTCAGCAAGAAAGAATGGGAATAAAAAATAGGAAAAGATGCAGTGATAAAATATAGGATGCTATAATTGAAAAAACTGAAATATCAATACTTGAAACTTGTAATAATTAAAACATTTTTGTAAACACTCTGTATCTGAAAATTTAAGCTCATTTATACCACAACAAAGCGCCTACCTTTCTTTATCTCTTCACAAAATAATGTAAGACGGACTTTTAAAATAACTCTACTGTGATTAATTTTAGAGTATAGTCGTCAAAGAATCCTATAACTTTTGAGATTGACTTTTTTTCTGATTCTAATAATTAATGAGATATCGAGGAATGCGCGTTTAGTAAGTCACCCTGTATAATAATCATCACCAAACATCTTACTTAAAAAAAAAAACAAATTAGTAACAAATACATCTTAGTAACGTTCTCTCGGTCTCAACGAATCGACCAAAAATATTTCAAAACTGCTTCCTGAAAGAAAAGAAATTTGGTAAAAATAATTTACGAGATCGTAGATTTTTTTAAGAATTATTTGAATTTAGAATGGTTTTAACCGTTAATGAAAAAATAATTTTACTTTAAATTTACCCAAAAATTTTGCCGTGTTGTACTTTTGTAAAAAATTACGTTGTAAAAACAAACAACAAAAAAAATTACCTTCAGTAAAGTGATATCATAGGATATTATTTTGTGGATTTTTTTGTTATTTTTTTTTTTGTACATAGATGATATACACCCTGTATTTGTATATTTATTTAAAATTGATGCGAAGATTTTTTAAACAGATTCTCCCCAATAGGTGCATCGTAGTTAATTTTTATTTAGAGAAAAATTTGTTTATCTTTAACATATGTATATCATTTCAAACGTGTAGATACTAGGTCATGGTCATAAATTTTGCCAAATGATCTTGTTATGTTTTCATTGTTTATTCTCTGATACTGTTTATGTAATACTGTTTTTCTACTTTAAATTAACGACAATTATTGCTTCAGTATTTTTTTATAGGTTAACAAATTGATTACAATTTTATAATATAATTATTTTGTGATTTTACAAATATCAGTCTAAAGGTTCTCACTTATTTTGTACAAAATTATGAAGTACTGACTTTCAGAGAAACATTCCACAGTGTCAGGCAACCAACAATACACTCCGTTTCGTCAAGCATGTATAGATTGTTACATAATATTGACTTCTCTTACCGTCTAATTAGCAAAATACAGCGAATTACTGTCGTCTGTGTACTAATTATGATTTGCTATTAACTATTCCTTGCATCTGTTGACCAATTCACTTTAATAATGATAATACTAATGCAATTTTTAGAAATATATAAACGGTTATTACTTAATGAAATTACAGTTAATAATTATTGTACAACTCTGTCAGTTTTTAAATTAATGTCAGATGTTTATATCTAATTCCAATGGTTACCACTCACTTCAGATGCTAAATAAGATAAATATTACCCAATTGTTTTCTTTAATATTTAGCTATAGGAAGCGATGGTGTGAAATTTAATATTAATAGTTGAAGCTAAGGAAAATTCCAAAAGGTATAGTTTAGGAATTGAATTAAAGGGCAGATGTCGCTTCAAAACAGTAGAAGAAATACTAAATTTGTTCTTAAATTTGCATGCCTAAATAAGTCTACTCAAAAATTCAGAAAATTGTACAAAGTTAGTAAGAAATTAGGTTTAATATTTAATATTTCAATACGTTAGATATTGTAAAATAGAGATTTCTCTATATACATATATTCAGATGAAAGAAAATCACGATGGTTACAATATTAAGAAAGATGTCTGGTGTAACAAGTGTCAGAAATTCCGTGGTTTAGCAAATGAAAGCACTTAGCACTTATTGATTTTTCACTATTGACAAAACAGTTAGATTAATTAGAAAATAGTTACTGTTACACGAGTGCAGTGTACACGTGGTGATCTGTTGGTTTTACAAAAAGTTATTGCTAGAGTCAACTTCAATTTTATCACCTTTACGTATGTTATGTACAGTACACTTTTTTTTCAAAAACGAAATAGAAAACTGCTGCTCATAGACGCTTTCTTTTTACCATTTATTAGCTCACGTGGACCAGTTATTTATAAGAATTAAAATTAATCATCATTTTGGAAAACATTAAATTGGTTTAGAAACGTGGACATAATTACCCATGATTTAATCTTCAAAAAATTATCGTTAGACTTTGGATTATAATAATATTTTGTTAGCAACTACTTTCACGCAACTCGAGATTTATTTTTATTACTTAGACGATTACTATAAAATTAATAAATACGTCCTTATGAATTTTCGCCGCCAAAATTTAATTCGGTAATGATTCACAGTAGTTCTGCCTTCAACAAGCCCTAATAAATACCGAGGAAATTGCGTAAACATACTGATACATTTTTTAGTATATGTACGTGGTCAGTTTATTACCGGCCTATTTTTAGAACTGACACCTGTGAAATGTGTTAAGAGTACCTATTGTGGCTTTAACTGTTTATTGATTAAAAATAATACCATCAAACCACGTGTTGCATTAAATTGCTCATACTTTCAAGTGGCAAGGCTAAAGGAACTGTATTTTTAGCATTAACCTCATTATGCTGTTTTGTAATTCTTGCAATCTGTCTTATGTCAGGAGGATGACAATGGAAATGAAAGATTAGCATGAGTAACAGTGATCTATTAAAAAGCCTGATTGTTTATGCAGCCATCCATACAGAATTCCTTAATTAAATGTGTTTTGTTGTACAGATAATATGTTAATTAGTTCATTATTATGCCTTGTTATGTCGAAGTCTTAATCTACGCTTTCTAGTCGTACGTTTTAGACTAATTTTGTCTGTTCTTTCAGCATACGGGTTTGATGCATACTCGTCCTAAAGCACCACGCGATGGATCTGCCCATCCCGTCCGAGATGGTAGTTCTCATACCCAGTATTACCATACTGTTACCGCAGCCTCTTCAAACAGAAGCCCCATGACGAAGGTTATGGATATATTCCGAAATAGGTCGCATGCTAGCGTACCTCCAGAAGACCGGCGCAAGGTAAGATAAGAACAATTGTCTGAAACCACCGTAACGTTGCTTTTGTAACGTAACTATAAACTAGATACGACTTACAGACGGTGGACTACTTCCACGTCGATAATTGAAATAATTCTGTTTTGAGTAGTATTTTTCTCCATATCGTACTCGTTATGTAAACAATACTAAGCAGTTTTTTTTTGTTTGGAATGGATACGTTACTGTTCAAATCAATCGATTTGATTAAGTTGCTATTTATGGAAGAAAATGTTAGAGAAGTAAAATAAAGCTTCAATTTGCCGATTAGTGTATTTCGTTTTTATAGACATTATTTAAGTAATGAGCGTAATCAGATTTAATAAAAAATATGTAAAACACAATGTCTAAGAAATTCAAACTAGTTTGTTTAATATAAATCTGTAAGTATTCTATTTTTAGAATATTATGACCATTAAAAGTCATATATAGAACTATACAATAATTATTTTGCACTTATTTACTGCGTACTAAAAGAAAATGGAGGTCACATAGTTTTCTTGAAAAAAAAAAAACGTGCGTGTAAAAAAATCGAATTATACCATCTTTTTTTGTCTAAAGCTTTACTAACTGCGAAAATTTTGTATATCATTAAACTATTTAGAAACTATACGAATACATTTTTTTCCTGTGCCTAAGAACGCTGGTTTAGCTGTTTTATATTTTAGTGATTGAAAATAAAAGAATTACAAAAACTGAAGTTAAACTGATTTTTGGTTTAATCTATGTTTGTATTTGTGTGTAAAGGTTATTTCTACATATCAACTGATCATGTTATAACTACTACATAAAATAGTGTACGAAAATGAATTTTTTTGACTAGCCGCAAACCGAGTTACGAAATCATTTGCGGGTGCCAGAGAGATTTCCTCAAAAAAAAATTCTAAAAACTGTAACTTACTATTTATAAATAGTCCAATCTAATATTAGGACATTATACTTTAACAATACATATAGTCCAACAAAAAAAATTTGAGAATTCTATGATAAATTTATAATTTTTGATGAACAAAAGTATAAAGTAAAAAAATTTGGTGTAAAGTTATTTAGTTAGAAGTTCGCTTGCTCCTTAAATGCAATCAAACAAATCAATTTTTTTTTATTATAAAGTTTGATTTTGCAAAATTTTATTTATTATTTTATGAAAAAAATTGATGTACCAGTGAAAATGTAAAAAAAAAACATTCACGAAGGGTGATATTCGAACCAATAGATTATACTGATAAAAATCAAGGCGAATTCATAAACCACGAGTAAAGTAATCGTAAAGAATTCGTTTCCTTGTACAGTTTTAGAATTCAGTAGCCACAATTAAGCACCAATAGTCCAGCCATTAATGTGGGACAAACCGTTTTTAAACTATAAAGGGTAGGACGTGCCAGCTTTGTCAAGACGGTTGTTTTCAGGAAACTGTTGCATTGGCAACTACAAATATCACTCCCAAACCTAACCCATACACCTGAACTTTTACAATTTTAAATCTCATCCTTTAATTGTAAATGGGACATTAATTTTCCATATTTTAATACACACTTAAAGACAGACGGAAACGGGAGACTTAATTTTTCGTATTCTATGCACCATGCAACGTTGAGGAGCTTGTTTAATATTTTCTCCATGTTTTATATGATACGAAAAAATTTAATTTCCTATTTTTATCTGTTGTTCTCTGTCATCTCTTGACGACTTTATTAGGCAGACAATCCCCGAAATTACTGGACTGATTTTTGTAAAATCTAAGATGTATGTGCGTTGTAAAATACTAATTTGTTGTAAAATCTTACAACTTACAATCACAATTCATCTGTTCATCCCTACCAAAAACTTAATGACGTCATTTCAAAATTTTTGCTATGTAACTCGTATTTAAGATGTGCAAAATAATAACTAATCCACATTTATTTTTAATCGTAGGTATGTAACTTTTTAGAAAAAATTAAAATTATGAAACAGAATTGAACAATTCTACCAAGAAACTATGAAGCCGGTTCGTCTGAAATTTTGCACACGGCGTAAGGTTGTCACGCACATAATAAATCATTAATTAAAATTCACCTACTCATCTCTTCCTAAAATTTAATGACGTCACCTCAATTTTTCGTCAGTAAATCTTGCTTAAAATTTATAATGTGACATGTTTACTGGGGAAACTATCCATGTGTACAGGGTTTTTTTATTGGAAACTATCACTGCTTTAGTGAAAAAAATCGCCTTTGTTAAAAATTGGTAAACAACGCATTTATTTCTTGCTACTACATTATTAACTCTGTATTAATTCCAATTTCGACTGAATGTAGAGGAAGTTATAATTCAGTTGTTTATATCTCTGTAAATGTAAATAATTAATTCTAATTATGGATGCGGAAGAAGAAAATATGGCATTGCTACAGATAAATATTGAAATATCGCATGTATATGTGAGAAAAAGTGACCATTTTTGTGGCTCAGGCACTTTACATATACTCTTTGCTACTTGCTATTTCCACAAGAAGCGTTTATCTATAAAATAATTAAATATTCTATTAATATCCGTCAAATATTTAAATTAGTGTTCTACATAAAAAAATCTTGTAGCCTATTTAAGCAAACTTTATCATAACCTTTGTTCTTTTCTTGTAGATAGCGTCGATAACCGCGCTTTTTCGTAAAAAAAAAGATATTTATTATCTTAGCGATGTTTATGTTTTAAATTTTAAAAAAATATTCCAATTTATAAATAAACCCCAGGCTAGCGCCTCAAAATTTATGGCCAGTTAATGTTCAATTTTTTTGTTTTATTTACGTAAGCTGAAATTTCTTATAGAATAAGTAATAACTAACACCTATAAATTTATTTGTTTATAAGCTATAAAAAATGATAGGTGTGGCAAAAGATTAGAATATTAGTTCGTACATGAAAATTCAAAATCATTTGATATTGTTTGTAAAATTAAAATTATTCCCACTTCTCTGTAAAGCACAACCTCCAAACCCAATATTTGTAAAGCAATATAACCCAGTTAAAACATATGTTTGCTTTTTTTAGTATAATTCCTATTTAGTATGTTACTTCAAACGGTGTCATCATTTTGCGCAGTGAATATTTCTGTACACGATTATATTATTTAAATTTGTAGTATTTTAATTTCCATCACAAAGCATATAATTTTTCCTGGAACAATTGTCTAGGATACTAGACAAAAAGCAGACATTGATAAAAAAATATATTTCATCAGTAACCCAGAAATTTTTAAGATTTAATTTTGCTTGAAGCTTTAAATACATAAATTTCTTTCCATATTTTGTAACACTTCAAGGGAAGCAAAAGCCTGCAACAATTTTTTTAAGTTACACTTTAAAGCTACACCAAATAATGAAATTCAGGTTCAGTATTTAAAGGAAAATCACTTAAAGTACTAGTCGGCAAAGATTTCATTTTTGATGTATTTTGGCAAAATATACGGTTGAAATAATGCACGATAACAAATTGGTTTCGAGATATATTTTTCGATAACGAGTTAATGCATTACTAGCTAGATGTTATGCAAAACACAGACAGTTATGTAACAATTTACAAATTTTTCCCGACATAACTGCAAATGTAGGAATGTTTTTCATTCCAAGTTCGGTATATCTTGATTTTTTAAATTAATGGTTCATAAATAAGTTTAATTATGATAACAACAACGAGTTCATGAACTCTACAGTTGTGTTTTTGTTTTGTTTAAGAAGTACGTCATTGTTAAGTCTGTCGAACAATTTTTTGTGAACCCGAAAAACCCCAATTTTGCCTTTATTATTAAAAAAAAAGACTGTTCAAACATCCAACCGGTACGTAAATATTTTCTAGATAAACTAAATTTGCAATTTCTCGCAATTTTTCGTGTCAGGTGACCTGAACACACTATCGCGAGTAATAAAATTGTACTTGTACTCACACACGTCACTCCTGTCTCAATGTTGAGCAATTTTTATGGTACATGAGTACCATGGGCACTAGAAACGCGATCGCATACCTGACCTGCATCAGACGATCTCGAGACGGCTCGAAAATTTCCCCTTTTGAAGCGCAAAATTGTTCGCGGTAATCCCACGTAAATATTTTGTTGTCGAGCACGTGTCATGTCACCTCGACAAAATAATTTATTAGTGGGAATATAAGCTTTTAGACGTCGCTCGACGAACGCCATCGTTTTATTGTCTCGGAGCTTGTACTTGGTGCATGTTTTTCGAAGACTGAGCGCATTTTGATTTGGATCGCGATTTTTTTCGTCGAGCGAGTGAAGTAGGGAGATGGATTGTGTTGCAGTGTCGTGTTTGGAGTTTCTATCATGTTAGTTATATCTGGAGACCGGTTGCGACGAGCGCGGAAATCGAAAAAGTGCCTTGTGCCGTGCAAAATGTATCTTGAAGTGCATCTGTTCCGGCCACGAGATCTGTCACATGTGTTGTTAGTACTGTTTTAATTGGATTCTTGATTAGAGCCAATTGTTTGGGAACGGTTAAATTGTTTAGTTGAAATAGAAGTATCCTGTTTATTGCGGCCTCGGTGGTTCCTACTTTTTTTCCGAAATTGTTCCAGAGCTTATTTGCTTTTCGACCGTTCTTACATAATCGGATTGATTGCTGTTTCATTATTACGGCGTTGTTAAAATTTGAACGTAAGTGCTTACGGTGTACCGAATTCATTAACGCTGAAGCATTTGTCAATCTTGTGATTTTTTCATATAATCAGTCAAGTGTTAAATTTTACTGGCGCGAAAACAATCACGGATTTGTGGAAACTCGAAAGGACACCATTCTTAGAACTAATAACACATATTCAGTTTTTGCCCAAGAAAAACCTACACTTCGTGTTAATAGTAGTTAATTGCCGTGACTTTATCACCGTAAAGCCTTTATTTTAATGCCTATTATTTGTATTTAGATAAGCAGTATTTTTTTAAAGATAACCGTTTGTTACAAAGTAAAAATTTGCGCTCACCGCCCGCCGTTTAGCCTCAAGATAGTCACAGTATTAAGGCTTAATACAATCGATAACACCTCATAATTTACTATTGTTTATGGCAAAACCCATTCCTTTGTTCCGCTGCCTAAATCCAGACTTGTAACTACGACCATTATAAATTTTTATCGTTTATGAAACACTCGTGAAACCGTTTTCAGTCGTTTAAGCACGCTACAATTTTTGACACTCGATTATTGGTGGCTGCGATCAGTGCCGAGTTACTTACAAATGTCAGGTGTAATCGACCTAATAAATCACCTTGCATAATCTAGGATTTGCGGTTTATCCACTAAAAGCTGTGTACACTGCACTTAAGTCATACTACTCTACTTAGCCGCTATTTACCCGTTCCCAATCCGGCTTTCTGAAAAAAGCTCGTTTCAGAAGTCCCACCGAGCGCGAGATCTCGATTGACCCTCTTCAGTGAAAAGTAAATGATCGATGAATTTTTATTTGTTTATTTTCCCAGCGTCAAGGAAAATTACCCAATCGACGTTTGATGTATCAGGTGCTTCTTGACGATTTTCAGTCATTCCGGTAAACATATCGGTTCGCGCAGTGAAGTTCTAAAAATGTAACTGAAAGTTGATGTGAAAGTGCAAAAATGGCTCAATATTTCCGGTGGATGAAAACTAAGAAGGAGGAGGTTCCGTTTGTTAAGCCTCGTAGTCATTCTTTGGATGCAAGAGGTTTGGACCCTTCTGATATTAGGAGACTGACTCTGATTAATGTATGAGTATTTTGTAATTGTAATATAAAGCTGTCTGGGACCTGTTAGGTGCAAGTATGCGTGTGGGTTTTCGTTTCTATTGTCTAACAGAAGTATCACACCTAAATGACCGCATTCGCTTGACCAGAGTTTATTGTGAAATCTTTAATCCGTTGTGAAAGAATGTGTTTTTTGTTAATGTTTGGAGGTGGAGGAATTGTAAGATGTAATTAACTGCTTAACTGGAAGAATGTTGCTTGTTGTGAAAATTTAATTAAGTGCACACTTATTGCACTTGTCCTAAAATTTAGGCTGAAATTTACGCAAGATTCATAACGTGTTTTATTTTTATTAAAGTTTGAAGTTGTAGAATTTTTTTCAATCGACGTAGTTTTTAGAAAAATTAAAATGTTCTCCAAGGTTTCACAGTTCATAGAATATGAAAATGCACATTTCTTATACTATATGCTTACTGGAAATTTTTTGAACGAATAATCTTTGAAACTATCGTATCGTTGTCTGAAATTTTACATGTGTTCTAAGAATTAAAAAAAAAAATCAAAGTTTACTCGAAACTGTGAAATTTTGATATATTTTTTTTTAATCGTGTTTTAAACCTAACGTTTGCTTTTATCTACCATTAATCAGAATACTTTGGGATTAACGAGGGTTTTAATTGAAGGTTATGATGAAACTGTCATATGATTGTTGCTACGTAAGTAACAAAGTAATAAATTCTTGAAATACACTTAAAGCAGAACCTATCAATTCCTCTCATAGTTTTCCAGTTGTCTGTGAAGTTTTGTCTGGAAAGATTTAACAGTTTTTATATAAAGTTTTGCTGGCTAAATGATCAATAATGTGGTGATAATATCTTGTCGATAATGTACGTAACGCTAAATTTGATTTATTGAAAGGATATAATGTTGTGAAAAATGTGACAGGTTTTGCAAATCTTCGGATTAATTTTATGGTTGGAAACTTACGTCGAAATGTATTTTTTCTTTGTCGAGTTTTGTGATTTTGAAAATCGCAAAAGATACTACGAAATTGAAATTAACCGTTTTTGAAATTGACATCAATTAATTTTTTAAATATTTAAATTACTTTTTTAGTTATTAGTGAAATGTATGTTTAATTTGACAAGCGAATTTTTCCCTATCTCATGTCAAATTGTAGGCTTTAAATCTAAATAACCTGAACAAAACTGTTGTGGAACTTCGAAGAATTATTTTCTATATTCACGTCGTTTTTTTTTATAAATTATATAGATTATGGAAAAGATTTTTGTAGATCTGGTCTTAACAATCTCTTCGATAGTAAAGCGCTAACTAAATTTGTCTTTTCGTTTCCGCGAAAAATGTGTTAAGTTTCCTCAAAATTTTGATAAACAAATCTTATCTAAAGCATGCAAAATAATATGTTCCATAAATGTGATTTATTAACCCATTATTATTTTTAACATGGTGCGTGTAGGTATTTGTAAAATTTTACAATTGGTCGTAAAAACGACAAAATGGATTTCGCTTATGTATTTAGAAAATCTCCTTAAAAGCATACACATAGCATTAACATAAAAAAAAAATCGTGAAATCAAATGTTGAATATAGTTTACTTTTAAACTCCTTAGGGCCATTTTTCAGTAGCGGTTCTTGATTATTTCTTACTGTTATTCATTTTGTCTTATTTCCTCCAAGAAAAAACAACTTCATGAAATTAACTTTTGATTTTTCTGTCATACAGTTGCTGCAATTTTTCTCAAAATTTTTAGTAGCGCGATTTCCAAATTAAGAAACTTGTTTTTTAAGTAGGCATAAAAATTTACTTATTTTTGTTACAAGCACCTAAAATGCAGTTTTCGTGGAAGTATCATTGCTGCTGAGTGGGCAAAAAGTTTTTTAGGTACGTGTTACAAGCAACATTTTTTAGTTAAAAGCTCCCAAAAACACCAACGATTAGCCCGCAAAAACTACATTTTAGGTACCAGTCCGAAAAAGATTCATTTACGGACTTCAATGAATCCGTAGCTATTTTTGAGCGTACATACTAAATGTTTGACGTGACTAATTACTGAATAATGCAAGAGTAAGACTTTTTTGCTTTAATACAACTTTTTAAAAAGTGAAAAAAATGTTGAATTCAATTCAAAATTTCTGTTTTTATTTTAAAGTGTTCCCTATTTGGAAAATCATTGTATACTATTTTCCTTACTTTTGGTTGAGTTCACTGTTCTTAAAAAATACATCTTGGGCCCTTAAATTTTAATGTTACACGAAGATATTTTGATGCAGAGTACTTTACAATTTTTCTTTAATGGAAAGCTTTGTATTTTATAGTGTTTTATAATTTACCTCAAATAAATATGTAAAAGAAAATTTTGCGTTCATATAAAAGTTTAGTCTAATAAATGTACAAGTAATTATTTTTTACCACCTTATATTAACACGATGAAAATAAATTGAGAGGAAAAAGATATTAAAAAAAAAAAAATTAAAACTTTCCCAGGCAAGTGACAAATTTTATGCAAAATCATACCTCAAGCACTAGTTTTTCTAGATGACCTCTTTTTCATCTAAATATGTCAGAGTACGTCTGTACACAGCGCTTTACCTTTGACTCCTGGGAATTTCAAAATATTTTAGAATATAACATCTTCGTTATTAAATGTTACGTTTTTTTGAACATAACCTTTTGCTATATGACACAACAGCAGTTTTTTAAAGAACAGTTTGTCGTCATGTTTTTAGAATTTTAGTGAAATTTTTCATAACGTATATTTAAAAATCAAAATATCTATTATTTATGGAAATTTCTAATGTAATGCACAAAATGATCTTCGGGAGGGGTTGAAGAAAGACAGATGAAGTGAATAATTTTATATAATGGATATTATAATCATATTATAGTTCAGCTGATTCCTTCAGAATATATTTCCACATCAAAACTATTCATTAAAACATTGCTGCCTGTAAATTTTAATAATAAATCACTCAGTGTTTTTTTTAGTTTTTATTGGCCATATGTTTCAAATTAAGATTAAAAAAAAAACAAAAACAAAAACTTAATTATGCTTTCAATGGGAGTTTTTTATGAATCACTTAAAAGTAGTTTCCGCAATAACAACATAAAAATTTACTTTAAAATATATATTGGATTTACGAGACCTTCATTGTTATCAGAAAACTTTGTTAATTATTGAAATTAAGTTGTTTAAACATTCCCGAGTTTTGTTTTTCCAAACCCAAGTTTGAATTATGGCTGCTAAAGTTATATTTCAGTTCTTTGAAATTTGGAACGAACAACAGAATTCTTGGAAGCACACAATACGTAGTTGCAGGAAAACATTTAATTTCGCAATTTTTGTCCATTTTTTTCCATAAAAAAACCTTGTCAATCGAGTCTTTAATGTTAATAACTTTGAATTACCACTGAAAATAATGGTTATCATTAACTAGTCGCCATGTTCTGGGGCGTATGTAATTTACGATTCTCGTTTATAGTGCAAAATAAATGGTATTTATCAGTTCCATTTCAATACTACAATGTGTAAAATTGAAAAATAACTCGATATCGATCGTGGAAGTAGTTGAATTTTCACCTTGGCATTGACTGTAAGTCGTTCAGATTTTCTTTTGGCTTAGTACATGTTTTTTATTTTATGAATTATGGATTTCGTGCAATTGCACGTCGTTAACTAGTTAAGTTGAAATAATAATTGAAGTACGTGCTAATTTTAAACCAGTAATTCTTCTATTTGTAGAGAAAACTTAGCAAATAATAATACGTTTTTTTTAACAAAAATATAGGAATTAACTCGTTTCATACTTACATATAAATTTTCTATATTTAGAGCTGTTTACTGCCCCTTAAGTATTGCACACTTATTTGCTTAAGACCAAGGTCAGTTGCAATAAAACCAACTCGAAAATTATGATCCTGCATTGGAAATTGTTGTGTTTATTTATTTCAAATGATGATAAAAATTCCCATGGGAGTGTAAAGTACGCAATGATCTAACTTCAAACAAAGTTTGCATAAATTAATAACTAATACCTGTTTTTTTTTTTGTTGCAGAAGGCTGCCCAACAACTAGCTGGTGAGTACAAATAGTCCTTGTTTTCAATAGTTGTTGATAATAATAATGTTCAATGATAATAAATAATCGTGCGTGGGAGGCTGCTCAACACACTCAAATTAATAGATTGCTGTAACGCACAAGTTTAACATTCCAGTCTGGCCAGTAGATGGCGTATCGTTTTATTTTCCGACGATCACGACGCGATGGTTTAAGCTTTACTTAAGACCATGATAAATCAATAAACGTAGACAAGATAACAACCGGTTAAGCCTTCGGCTAAAATCGGACGTTATTTTCATTTTCCCCTTGTATCGTAAAAGCACTAAACGGTTTGTTGTTGCTTTAAACGAGCTTGTTTGTGTCAGAATTGCGTTTGTTTTCCTACCATTGAGAGAAAAATCCTGGCAGAAACCCGAGCTGTTTTCGCATGCTTTAACAGTTGGATTATTTTTGAAGTATCGAGGATTACTTCATCCGTGCAAAATTTTACATATCGCGTCGACTATGTAAATGAATATGAATTTAAAAATACGAAGCTTGGTCACGCCACGCCTTTGCAGGTATCTATCATTCCCGTCTCGTGAACGCTTCTAGGTCACGAGGATCATTCCGTCTTGCATTAACTACGAATTTATGACGTAAGGATGGTTATCGCACTGAATTACACTACTATGGCGAGCCTCCACGCGCCTGCGCCTTGTCAATCCGGTAGTGTAAATTCGCTATTTCCGGGCGGGCTCCGGACGCAATCGTAACCATATACACATGTGCGTGTGTTTATGTTATTGTTTTGCTTGGAGAACGACGGGAAACGAAATGGGCAAAATTTGGCCAGTCGTCTGAGCAGTTAACGGCAAAACTGTAGAGGAAAATTGTTTTGTTGGCAATAATGATTTTCATGTTTACTAGAGCCCAGCACACGCAAGGTGTCCATAAGAGGGTACAAAAAAGAGTAGTTCTCAAAACATTGATCTAAATACAATAATAGTAACTACTTGGTTTCTGAATGTAATAAATATATAGAATATGGCATATAATAACTATTTAAGGCAAAAACTTCATTTCGATTTGTTTTAAAAATAATTAAGTTACATGTCACAAGACCAGTGGGGTGCGATTTTGCTTCTCGATCGAAAAAGCTCGATAGCGATAAAATCTCGTTTGCTGATTGGTTGAGAGGCTGAGTTGGTGAGACATTTCTGGCACATTTCTCGATTCTGTCACGAAATCAAGTCTTCATGGAGTGATATTTTCTCGATAACTCTGAGTGAAGTGATAAATTTTGGAGACATAACCTCGAAATTTATGTCAAAATAGAAGTTCAAAATCGTAATTCTGAGTTATAAATTCTTAAAATTAAGGTAATTGTAAACTTTTGAGCATTTAATAAGCTTATACACAAAGAATAAATGCAAACTTTTGCATTTAAAGGTACGCAATAACATTTATGGCAAGTGAAAATTTATCACTTCGATCTAGAAACAAAATCGCACCTCAGACATTTTTTGGATTACTTCTAATATTATCCTGAGTCATTTTAATAAATTATTACATTTGGATAGATTTTTTAGATGTTTCGCCTTCTTAAATATTTTAAAATTTGTATCTTTCTTTTATGTCTCAGTCATAATGTATTTGGTAAAATGTAAAGTAAAATCACTACGCGTAAAGCGAAGGTCTGGAATATTTTAGTGCGAATAGATCAAACGTTGTGTATAAAGTCTTATATAAATATTCAAATACTATTTTTATTTGAAATAGATTTGTCCAGTTCGCATATTTAAAAATCAAAGGTAATAATCAAGAGAATGTTAACTTTACTGACACGATTTTTTGTGCTAACTCACTGAAGCTCAAAAGTTACTTAATACGTGAAATGTTGTAGAATTTCTCTCACTGTGATAAAATCTTTCAAGTTTGGAAATGTTAAAGTCACCAAACATAATTACCTCCTGATCTAATTTGAACGATATTTCTAAATAATTAATCTTGATACTAATCAGCGAAGGCAGTTGAAGGAATGTGTAAATTATTAAGAACAGCACTTTTATTGTCACGTGAAACTCTTGACTACTACTAAATAATTTTCAAGTATTGGCAGTTAAGTTTCAACCCTTCATTCCTATTCTTTGTTTTCTAATTGCTCTGTAAACTATTACCAAAATATTCTGCAGATTGACCAAATTTTGTATTTAAGGCTCTAATATTTTGACAGAATGCTGTTATTATTTTTTTTTTTTTTGAGAGCAAGCAATTTCACTTGCCAAGCCCTTAAAATATTATCAAGATTGACTTGAATGTTTCGTTTTTACTTCGCGAGCGTAAGTTAACGAAGTATTATTATAATCGAGTCCATCGGGGGACTGGCTGCTTTCATATTTTCTCGATGTGTCTTGATCTCTATATTACGAAAACAATAGATATCGCGTTTCCGTCTGTCTGTCTGTTTGTCCGTCTGCCGTCTGTGTCAATTTTTGTTAGACAGATAATCCCCGAAACCATAAGATTGTTGTCAGATTTTATATGCTTGTTATAAATATTGCTAATCAAAGTTTGTTTAATCATCCCAACGGTGTGATGGCGTCACCTCAAAATTGCACATAGTAAATCTGTTTTAAATTGTATAAAATAACATACTCCTATGCGTGTAGTTTATGAATACGTGTTGAGTTTTTACCTGAGACATTAAAATTTTTGGAATAAAACTCAAAATTGTAGAACAATATTGTGTAATTTAATTTTTAATCTGGAAAATCGAATGCTTTGAAATCTTACAGATGTTTTAAAGTTATCATGACCATTCATTATTATTCATTCTACACTGCACCTATCCAAATCGATATACTGTTCTTGCAAAAATGTTTAATGACTTTACCACATAGTTTTTAATGGAAAAACTCATCTGAAACATACGCCTAGCATACTTCTTTATATTTACTTTAACATTACATACTCATCTTTATTTTAACTTACAGTAAGGAGCACTCACAAAAATCACAAAATCAAATATTGTATTTTTTCCAGAAAGCGGGATATGTTTCATTGCACTTTAGGGGCGAGGGAAGTTCTGTCGAAACTAACTTCAACTAATTTTGATTGTAGACATTGAGATTTTTGGAAAACACAAATTAAAATCGTAGTTATAACAATCTTTCGATTTCCCAATTTTTTCAAATTATCGATTTTTTTGACATTTCGATTTATCGATCTATCAACTTACGATTTCCCAATTTTTCGATATTTCGGATTTGGGATTTTTCAGTTTTTTTATTCTTCAATTTTTCCATTTCCCGATTTTCAATTTTTCGATGACTCTTTTTTCAGATATTTCAGTGTTGAGATTGCGCAATTTCTCGGTTCTTCAATTTCCGATTTTTCATATTCTTCATTTTTCGATTTCTCAGTTTTCCGATGACTTTTATGATTTTTCGATTTATCGATTCTTCAATTTTTGACGTTTCTACTTTGTAAATTGTCAATTTTTCAATTTCTCGATTAATAGATTTTTCAATATTTCGATTCGTTAATTTTTCGTTTTTTCAGCTTTTCGATTTTTTACTTTTCCGATTTTTAAATTTTTTGATTTCTCAGTTTTTCGATTCCCCGATTTATAGAGATGTTTTCATTTTTTGATTATTCAGTTTCTCAATTTTTAGATTTTTCTATTTTTAACTTTTCGGTTTCTCGCTTTTTTGATGTTTTAATTTCTTGATGTTTCAGGTTTTGAATTTTTCGATGTGTCGATTTCTGGGTTTTTCGATTTTTCGTTATTTCAGTTTTGAAAATTTTCAATTTCTCAATTTTTCAGTTTTTCGATTTTGAAATAATAGATTTTTGAATGATTCAATTTTTCGATTTTTTGATGTTTTGATTTCTCAATTTTTCGATTTCTCAATGTTTAAATTTTCCAGTTTTTCTCAATTTTCAAATTTTTGATTCTTTGGCTTTTCGATGTATCGATTTTTCAACTTACAATTTCCCAATTTTTCGATATTTCATCATTGGGATTTTCCAGTTTTTTTATTCGTTAATTTTTCAATTTTTCAATTTCTTGATTTTCAATTTTTCGATTACTCATTTTTCCGATCTTTCAGTGTTGGAATTTTTCAATTTCTCACTTCTTCAAGTTCTCGATTTTTGAAATTTCTGATTTTTTGATTTCTCAATTTTCCGGTGTTTTAGTTTTACGATTTTTCAATTTCTGACGTTTCTAAATTGACAAATTATCAATTTCTCGATAAATCGATTGTTTGATTTTCCCATATGTCTATCCCTCGACTTTACAATGTTTCGATTTTTCAATATTTCGATTCGTCAATTTTTCGTTTTTTCAACTTATCAATTTTTCGGATTCTCGATATTTTAGTTTTTCGATTTTTCAGTTTTTAACTTTTCGATTTCTCGATCTTTTGATATTTTAATTTCTTCGGCTTTTCGTTACTTCAGTTTTGAAAATTTCCAATTTCTCGATTTTTCAGTTTTTCGATTCTTCAATTTTCCAATTTTTGCGATTTTTTTAAATTGTGGGGTTCCGATTTCTCGGTTTTTCAATTTTTCGATTTTGAAATTTTTAGATTTTCGAACTATTCAATTTTTCGCTTTTTTGATGTTTCGATTTCTTAATTTTGCGATTTACCGATTTTTCGATTTTCCGATTTTTTGGCTTTTCGATTTATCGATTTTTCAACTTAAGATTTCCCAATTTTTCGATATTTCAATTTTGGGGTTTTCCAGTTTTTTTATTCGTCAATTTTTCAATTTTTCCATTTCTCAATTTTCAATGTTTCGAGTACTCATTTTTCCGATATTTCAGTGTTGGAATTTTTAATTTCTCCGTATTTCAGTTTCTCAATTCTTCAAATTTCCAATTTTTCGATTTCTCAATTTTCCGGTGTTTTAGTTTTACGATTTGTCAATTTTTGACGTTTCTAAATTGTCAATTTTTCGATTAATCGATTTTTCAATTTTCTAATTTCTCTATCTCTCGACTTTTCAATGCTTCAAGTTTTCAATACTTC